GTGACATCAAAATGGCACCAAAATAATTCAATCATTCCAAAATGATTATTAAAAATCACTTTTCGATCAGTTACGATTCATTTCAACATCATGTTAACCTCCATGTTAGACAATCAAAATTTTTCATTTTTTTCAGCTAATAGTTTTTTATATGTAAAATTTATCAAATTGACATAAAGTCAAAAAATATAATAAGTTTTTGAAAGTAAACTTTTCAAGCTTGGAAATCCTTTTTTAAATTTAAATTGTATTCATTTTTTTGAATGAAATTACGGTTGCTTTTAATAGTAATTTTAATAGTAACACACACACACAGAAAAATGACATTTTATTTGTATCGACCTAATGGATTTCATCAAGTTAAATCTAGCAGACTCGATTGCAGGAGATGCATCTGGGAATCTCACGCGTAATGCAAAATGCAATGCGTGCAATTACTCACGACACGTGGCGACTCGAGTGGTTCGTTGGTCAACTATATAGATTCCAATGCACTGGTGTGCATACGATGTGAGTGCGCTGGCTGGTTTGTTCAGGCTTGCGATGGTATTTGCTAAACGTGCCTGCGTACGTATGCGTGCACGTAACCGATTCTCGCACACGAACGAAGTCAAAGTTCAGTCACTCCGTAACCTCCTTTCAATCGAAACTATTACACACTAGCCAGCGACTCTCAACCAGTCAGATTTTTTTACTTTCGTTCTCGTTAAAGCTTCGCAATATCGCATCAGCGATTATTAAACGCCTTTATCGTCGCAACAGTTTATTAACCTGACGTGATTTAAATGAGACGTATATTCTTGAAATATTTTTTCACACATGCGTGTTCTTATGTACGAAAGATTTTTATCGCATTCTTGTACCTTGATGATTAAAGTAATGTAATACGGAAAGTTAACAAAGTGTCGCGCATAAGTACCGTTATTTCTTCTAATTGCGGATTCATTATGTCATTGAACGACCAAATTTTACGCCGAGTTATATCTGAGTCGTGCCAATTTCTCGAAGATGCCACTCCCTCATTAGGTTAATGTACCTCATGAAACGCTTTCACTCTCTTTCGCTTTCGCGGTGAAAACAGTAGAACGTAAAGCGACCGTGCGGCCCGATTTAAGCCGCAAGACATAACGGATGAATGTATATTGTAGAATACGTTTATACGTACATCATGTAGCGGAACAATTACATGCAACATCCCGAGCAGTTAAGATACGCTAATGATCATTAGTGTCTGATGGATGGAGCATAATCGAAGATCCGAGGATCAGACAGTCTAACTATAGATTCGATTGTAAAAGTTTCATCACGTCGACATTCTCGCTAATCTCGTTATGTAAATCGAAATGATTTTAATGATTGAGATTTGATTATTAGGATACAAATTACTATCGGACATAAACTTAATCGCATATACATACCATGTTACTCGAATGTGAAGAAATAAGCACAGAAAATTTGGAAAATAAACACGGGCCAGTAGCATTACGGCTGACGAAACGTATCGCGAACTATCATGAGGCACTAGTAATAGTGTATTCAAATTGTGCTCTGCGTAAATCTATAACGTGGCCTAATCTCACAGGATTCTATCCCGGAAATTGTGCAATTACTGCAATCACAGTCGGCTACTCTCTCTCGTTGTTCGTTGTCTTGTTAGATAATAAAACTTTACTTCCCAATTTCGTTATTTCCAATTGCATAAGGAACGATATGTAAAGTGACATAACTAGCAAGTTGATCGGCATTGATTTAGGTTTTTTTTTTAATATTTATAGTTCATAAGATTATTGAATTGATATAGAACAGTGCATGTGGTGTTAAGAAAATTGAAGAAAAACGTCAAGTTTCATTAATGTATATTCCTTCGCATTTAAAAAAAAAAAAAAAACGGTGACAAGTATAAGATATCTCCAATAATTAACGTCTCAGTAAAACAGCAAGGATATAACGTTCATTCTTCTAAAGTTACATTATACGTACGAGAGAAACTTTGTATGCAGGGGAGCCGCCTAAGTATTTTTTTCAGAGTTCAGGTTCTGTGACGTTTAATGTTGCCTTCATCGCCATCGCGATCTAGTAAAACCACGTCTCCTCGCGCCCATTATCGGAAGAACTTAAAATTCATCATACTTCCCCACCTTTTATGATCTGATCAAGGATCGATAGCTCCCTACAGCCCCGTTACGCCGTCGGAACGCGGTGCCGGCGCGCGAAAGTAAAAGTAGGCGGGCAGCACGCGTTGAATTGCTTGAAACGCGTCCTCGAACGGTCGCTGCACCACGAGGAGTTACCCCGGCCTCCGTGTTGAGCAATCAGTTCGGTAACTGTAGTTCAGTTTCGCTTCGGCTCTCAGAAATTTCTCGAATGTCCCTTCGAGAT